AGAGAACTTCTGCCGATACATTTGAACCAGTTAAGCGCTTGGCCCCTCAAAGCGCTGGTAGCTAAGGTAACTTTTTGGAAACTCGTGCACTGGGGTAGAGCATGAAGTGGTCATCCAATTTTTCCAAAAAACTGGTTACCTGTGAGTTTCCATTAAACGTTGCTTCTGGTTTCATCGAAGCGCGCATGGTCTGGACAATATACCCAAATCCTTCCAGGGGCGGCAGCTGGCATTTCTGGATTCTGAGCTGTTTCTTCTTTCTGCAGGCAGCACAGGTTCTTCTTGAAACTCGGCCATGGTTATTCTTCGTCGGGGCGCCACTATCAGGTTCAATGTTTCTTCTTACCTTCTTCGGAAACATACAATGACCTGACTAGAACAGAGAGCTTACTAAAGCTATGTTCACTAATTGTAGTAAGTAGACAGGATACAGACGAAGGGTATACAAAACCCTTTATTTTTTCTTTATATACAATGACTTTCCGTACTTTCGGAATACAATGACCCTCCACTCGGGTCATAACTTAAAAGATATCAAAATAAAACTAAACTCTAATTAACTTTAGAATAAGATTGGCCTTATAATAACAGAAAGCGTATGTAGCACAGAGACTGTGAACACTACAATACGTTTAATTTATCAAGAGGATTAAAACCTCTGGCCTGGAAGGCAAAGTAGCAACTGCGTAACTTCTAAGGTAAGCGGCCTGCTTCGAACTCACGGCTTCCTCTCTTCTGCTTGGCAAAAAGGCCACACTTAAATACTTGGCGTTCGCCAGACAACTTTGCATAAACTCCTTCACGCTTATAATTCTGGCCGGAAGTAGAAAATAAGAAGTGATAGTAAAGATTTAAAATAAAATAAACGTTAGTAAAACTTAAGATCCTTACAATAGTACAGGAACTAGTTTCTCTATATACATTTCCATCCGCATCTGATATCAAATATTTGTGGTCACTGAGAGTGAATGCATCTGAAATAATAAAATTATAATCTGGAATACTTATATTTGAAGAGCCAATCAACAAGTCAGTATATCTAACTCTGTAGATAAAAAAGTGGGGGCAGAATCAAAATTATTGAATAATGAAACATTTCTATAGAAAATAAAGTCATGCACCAAAACTCCTATCACATCAACCGATGCAGCTCCACAAGTAAAATGTTTTGCATTAAGATCTCCAAAAATTAAAAATTTTGTATATAAATTTAAAATATCATCCAATTTAAAGAGATATAAATTTATATCTTCTGCTGGGGAAAATAAACACACACAACTCCATATAAACCTTTAGCAGTATTAATTGTTATAGAGGTGATAACATCTAAAGAATAATCCGCAGTAAAATCAATATCCGGATTAACGACAGTAATGGCAATTCTCCCACCATTTTGATGAACAACTCTCCAATTTCTATTACTATATGCAGTATGTTTGTTGAATCAAACTAACGTCTGGGGTCTTGGTCAAAATTTCATCAATCGCAGACAGCTGTATGGCAGCTGCTTGACAGTGATTAAAATTAATGCTTAAAATCCACATTAAATAAGGTACAATAAAATCTGTATCCAATAAAAATTCTAAAAGTTTAATTTAATTTAAAAATCATGTAATGGTAAAATCTCTCTTAAAACCAATATAAATTAAAATTAATTAAACCAGGAAAAGTTAAAGCAGAAACAAATACGCAGTAGAATTTGTACGGCGAAACTCAAGTATGCATACTGCGGTGAGATATTAAATCAGTAAAACTAACATATCAGGACCCATAGTTAAAAACTCATAAGTTTGTAGCGTTGCGCGCCTCCAACTTGCACGCAACCAAGAGGTGACTGTGAAAACTGGATAAAAGACAGAGTCTTGTTAAGGGTTTAAGTCCCTTTTTATTCAACGTAATAAATTACAAGTGCGTGTCTTGACGCTCACAAACTGCGCCAACTCGGCGGTCAAATAAAAAATAATAACCTGAAAAGAAACTAAAGACAAGACTCTAACTACGAGGCTCTCTAAAAGTAACTAACCTCACCGCGTTTTACAATACCGCTGCTAATTCAGCAAACTTGAAGATCACGTTGAACGATTAACAATACTTCCAGGCAAGCACACAGGCCGAAACGCGGGGTTTTTCAATTTCTGGCTAACTACCTCCGCGCTCGTGAAGTAAGAACAGCACACCTTGAACTCGTTTCCTTTCTATTTAACTCAGAATACTTCCGCTGATAATTTGAATCCTTGCACGTTCTACTAAAATTTACATACTCTGGCATTGGCAGTTCCAAGGGAAAGTAAGGCTTGACAGGAAAGATAGTTTAAACTTAAAATAAATGTTAGTTAAAATAAATATAAACCCTACAAGTTCATAAATTCATATGTTCCGTAATATATTTTATTTCTCTCGTAAAAACTGGAAATTCCTTAGAAATAGCTTCGTGCCCATCATCTATATTCATTTTATTTCTTGATTTAAAATTTTTAAAATTAATACATTTCTTAAATTTACTTTTACAGTCTTTAGCTAAATGAGGACCTGAACAGGTGTTACAAACAGTTTCATTTTTGCGTTTAATATGACCAAAACGAAGGCAATTTGTACATCTCTTCGGTTGAACAAACAATCTGGCAGGGTACCATAACTCTCTCATTTTGCAAAATCTGGGCTTCACAGATTTTGTCTACATGAAAGACTCGATGAGAAGTAAGCTCTTTTCCATTTTTACCTGCATAAAAAACAAATCTAACACATCCTCCATCACAGGAGCAGTCTTGTTTCAAACTTTCTAAAAGTTTTCATTTTCAACCTCCTGCGAAACATTATAAATAATAATTTTTGGTTTTATGAACTTACTTGTCCGAATTTCTACTAGTCTGCTAAACGATGATTTGTTCTCAATAGCTCTTTCTAATTTCTTTGATTCCAACACATCTTTTAATCTAACAACAAATTTTCCATTCTTTTTTTGAAAGGAATCCACCATTTTAATGCAAAGATCCGTTGGCCTAATATAGCTTGAGATTTCATCAAAGACATCAATATCAGGAGTTTTTGCCTTAATAATGAACTCTGCGTCTCTATTTATATCATCATTATCTTTTTTTAACAATTTCGCCTTTCGACCTAAGTACGTTTTTCCTTATTCTCTTAATATCAAGAGAATCCGTAATATATCTCCCTTCCTCTTTAATATCTTCAATACGAACTTGATAAGTCATAGTAATATCTGTCTCTATAAGTCTAAGATTTTGTTCCATGGCCAATTCAACGATCTTGTCCAGACCCTCAACAATTTTGTCTGATATCTCTTTGCTGATTCTGGTCTTCCTCATTCTTTCAACTACTTGATACATGGTTTTAGTTACGGCCTATATACTTTTTAAGGATCTAATGGTTTCTTCAACTTCTGGATTCTGCAGCCTTCTATCATTATCATTTTCAACTTCATTCATATTTTCCATTCCTTTTCCACTTTTATCTTCCTTTACTGTAATATCTTTGACTGTTTGATAATTCTTCTCAATTTCATTATTTTTCGCAGTATCATTCATCATATATCTCATTTATATCTTCAACACTTAAATCGCGATTCGTTACGTAGTTTTGAGCCAATTTCATAATTTCACCCTCTCTTTTATTCAGTAGTAAAGCAAAATCAATAATCACTATATATGGGCCTTTAATATTCAAAATTCTTACAGAAAATTCATTATATCAAATCAATTCTCCTCTCACCGCGAAAAGCAAAATTTAAGCACTCATTATTTAAGTATGCAGATAAAAAAAATGTTCATAGTCTAAATTAAAACAATATTCACAGATTCACAAAGACTATATAACATGAATTCCTTTTCATAAATATAGAATTCTGCGCAAAATATTAATAATAGTCAACAGGCCAAACGATAAGACCAAGGTGCAAAATACTGTTCGATAGTAAATAAGTTAAATCTTGACTCGCACGAAATCTAAAAAAATATAAAAACAGTTCAAAAATACCATATTGAGTCAATTATAAGTATGAAAGCTCATAAGTAATATAAAGCAGATGTTTAAGTAATCATACACGGTGTTAAAATTCAAAACACACAGAATTTTTAAATAAGCTTCATGCAAATCAGGGAATTGTCAAAAACCTCAAAAGTCATAAACAGTACATGAAACAAGTTAAATATAAGTGTGAAAATACGTAAGCAATATTAAATATGTGTTCAATTTAATTTACGCCACATTAAAATTCAATGCACACCAATTTTATAGATAGGCTATATGCAAATAGAGTTGATTCTTAAAAACATTAAGAATGGAAGAAAATACTTAAAATAAGTTCAAGATATATGTGAAGTCTTAAGCAATATTAATAAAATATTCAATTAACCTCATACAGCGTGAAATTCCACTAAACACCATTTCTCAAACAATAAGAAAATAACAGGCATAAACAAACTCGCAGCTTAGGCTTAGCGTGCTCCGGAACTTCAGATTATCCAAATAGCTTGAAAAGACTTGCATCCACTGATTTATTTCAACGTCCGAACACAAATATTTAAATACTTTCTTTAAATGCATATTTATATATAGGCATTTAACGTTATCAGACACTAAAGGTTTAAAAAGGGGGAATTTGAACTAAAGTTTTACCCTAAATTTGTGGAACTGAAATCTGATTTAAGGATAAAGGAAAATAGACACATTTTTATTATTTCTATTTTTGAATTTTTCATTTTAAGTTTAATTTTTCAGCAATCCACAACATAATTGCATTTTAATGCTTGTGTATGATTTTTTAATTGACTCATGTATGTAATATATAGCATTTTTATTACATCATATAATAAAAAATATCTGCACTGAATAAGATAGTTTTAAATCTCGAGATTAAAAAAAAAAGCTTATTTTAAAATAATCTACTATAATTAAAAGTTATAATAATTATAATTTAAAATAATGAACTTAAAAATAATAACTATGGATGAAATAAGTAATGCTATTTTTTTCTGCTTCAGATTAAGAAGGTTCCTGTCAAATCTATAATGTTATCAATACCTTTCTGGGCTCTAGCTATTGGATATTTTGGACAGTTTTGGATCCTAGGACTATATAATGTAACACCATCTTTGTACATGGGTACCATTCTTAACGTCGACAGTGAAACAGTAAGTTCGAAACGGATAATGTTTCATTAACATAAAGGTCATTCACAGGACCAAATTTTGTTTGAATGTGGTCAGCGTTTCATTGTTTCACTTTAAAAAATGAATTAAATAACGTAGACAGTCAGAGTAAAAAGCTCTGGTCACGAGATATTCTTTAGAAAAATAAAATTAAGTTTTATACGAGTTCCTCACAAAGAATATTTCAGTTACTGAATTATCCCTTACATCATTATAGATCTTTTAAAACAATTCTAACACACAAAACTGAATTGGAAAAAAAGGCCAAAATTACATGACTTAAGCCAAACCAATGAAAAGTGACAAAAATGTCAATTTCTGAGATTAAACAATACCTTGCCTTAAATGTTGCGACAAACATCTGGGGAAGGTAGGGCACATCATAAAGATTAAGAATTGCACAGTACAGTGAAACGTCACTGTACGCCGCCAAGGGGTGCTGTACAGGGAAGTGAGAATTGCCTCATTCGAGCGGTAGGCGTCATACGAAGAACTATATGAACGGAGAGCTTGCAGACATGCACTTTGTGTATGGAATAGCTGAAAGCAATGGACGAGCCGCTGCATGCATTTATCGAGAACGCTTCTCCCACAAACATCAACCACACTGCAGTTTGCTGCACGTCTGCATCAAAATTTGTGCGACTACGGGTCATTAAAAAGTGGCAGGACAAGTGAGGGCAGGCCACAATCGACTCGCTCGGTCGTTAAGGAAAATCCGTGGTGTTTACGGTGGAGAGTAATCCAAGACAAGCATATGTGCCATTGCCTCTCAATAAGAATGTCTCGTACTAGTGTCCAGCGTGTCTTGACGCCGAGTCTTTCCACGCCTTTCGTCTCCAAAAGAGTTCAGTTACTGCTCGCTGATGGCCATCCTGAACGTGTGCATTTTGCACTGTAGTTTCTGCAAGAAAGTGCTCCTGATGTTGATTTCCCAGCTTATCTGTTGTTCACGGATGAAGCCACATTCAATAGGGATGGGGTATTCAATAACTACAATCAACATTTGTGCTCTCAAGAAACCCCCACGATGTGCGGCACCACGCGGCACAACAACACTTCAAAGTTAATGCGTGGGCGGGTTTGGTCGGCGACTGCTAAGTTGGTCCATATCTTTCACCATCCAGGTTGAATGCCGCGAATTATCTGATCTTTCTGGAGCAGGTTTTACTTGGCTTGCTTGGCTATGTTTCACCAAACGTGAGGCGCAACATGTGGTTCCAACATGATACGGGCCTGCTGATTTTGGACTGGCTGATCGTAGGTATTTGAACAGATCATTCCCGCATCGATGGATTGGGCGTGGTGGACCGGTTCCCAGGCCCCCACGCTAACCGGATTTATCGAGCCTTGATTTCATTTTGTGGTGAGCCATCAAAAGCATCACGTATCACGACTCTGTTGTCTCTGAAATGGATCTCGTGGCAAGACTCGCCTGTGCAGCTGCTACAATCAAAGAAACTCCCGGTGTGCTTAAACATGTCTAATCTTCTCTGTTCATTTCACTCGTGCATCTTCTGATTCTGTAATGTATTCGTTCAGCTCGTGCATCTTCTGATTCTGCTTGACGCAATTGCGCCATGCTCACACGCACATCAGTATTATCTTGCTGGATTTGTTCTTCTGTTTTTTGGGTTCTTCTTTCTCACATGTCTGCAGCTCTACTTGTTTGACGGCCCAAATTAGTCCCTTTGCGTCTTGTTGGCATTGTTCACTGTACAAAACACGTATAAATAGAACAAACTAAATTACTTAATGATGAAAAACATTAAGCAATTTAGTAATAATGCATTTTTTCTTTGATATATACTGTATTTGGTTTTCACAATATTTCTCTTTTAAAATGATTCTCACAAAATTTTGCACGCACTAATATTTTTATTATAGTGTCGTTTAATAATGATTAAAAACTAATAAACGTATAAGAATAATTTATACGTGTAACAAAATAGCCGTTGTTGGCAGGAGCTCGTGACACGTATTGAGTACTTTTGAGGTTATATGGAATCTAATATTTTGTGTATAATGGACTAATAAACGTAAAGAATAATAATACGTACGTACACCCAGTGTAGCCTGGCAGGAGCAGTTTGACCGTATTGAGTACTTTGAGGTGGTTAGTATGGAGACGTAATTACTCTAAGTTAACTGGAAGTTATTAAAATAATGAAAAAAAATTAAATAACGTATAGACCAAAAAAAATAATAAATTAATTATAAATTAAAGAGGAGAATAATAATAATAGATTAAAGAGAGTTAAGTGAGAAACGTCATACTTACTACCGTGCACATGAAGCCCTGCGAAAAAACTTGAAGGCCGAATTGTGGTCATGAGATGAGATTTAGCGGCTAGAGAGCCGGGCAGGGGGTGTGTAAGATTAATAAGTTAATTTGATGGTGGTGGGGAGAAGATCGAAGGTGTTGCTCAGTATACCTGACGTCGCCATGTGTAATGGATCAATTACCGGCTAAAAAAAAAACCAAAATTTTTTGGGGTAGCCCCTTATCCTATAGAATCAAAATTAGGTTGGTTGTAGATTAATGATTTCAAAAAATTTTAAAAATGAATAAAAAAAATTTGGAAATAGGGGTTGGGGGGGGTTACCTTACTAACACTGTATGGTCATCGACACGAATTTTTATTGTGTGAGAGAAACAGGAGACCAGCTTCAGTCTCATCCTTACTCCGTGCTGTTTACTGGATGAGAACTGACACCGGTAGACGCCTGGCGGGAGTAACTGATCAAGTGATAATTGATCAGTTATCGACCAGGGTCAAAAATTAAATTACTAATATCGCTATTAAGAAATAGGGGTTGGTGGTAGAAGGGTGAAAATTTAGGGTTGTATGCATTTTTTAATGCCACATCATAAAAAAATAATTAAAAAAAATGAGGGTGGACCACCCTTATCACTTAGGGGTATGAAAAATAGATTACGACCGATTCTCAGACCTACCGAATATACATATAAAATTTCATAAAAATGGGTCAAGCCGTTTCGGAGGAGTATTGTTACAAACACTGTGACACGAGAATTTTATATATTAGATATAAAAATGGGAATCAATATTTATTTCTTTGCAATTTATATAACTATAGTTTCATTTATTATAACTAAAAACTCAAGTTTACTCTAGTGTTCCTTAAAAATTTTAGAACTTAAAAAGTGTTCAATGATTATAAAAGTTTGGGAAACACACTGATCTAAAGAATGTGCGAAAGTCAGTATCAGACCACTAAAGCCTCATTTCCATTAATGCGGACTGTATGCTCTGCATGATTATGTAATGAGGTAACTCTGTGTTAGAGAGGTGCGTCTCTAAATCATGGCCATGCTCGGAATTTATTTGCATTTACTCCCACCAGGTGCCCTTTTATTGATTGATATGCTTGAGTTATTTAAATTCGACTTCTGAAAAGTTTTTATCCTTGTTATGAAATGTGAAAATAACAGTGAGTGTGTGTGTGATTATGGCAAAGCCTCGAGGGCTATCTGCCTAATGGGAAGAATGCCGTCGTGGAGGCTTTTCTAAGGCAAACCGGCTCGTATACACGTTACACACGGGGAAAAACCACGAATACGCCCATGCAGCCAGCCCGTTCGCGGGATTCGAACCTCGGACAGAACTACAAGTGTTCAGTGACTTTACCGCTTGGCCTATCGGCTCAACCAGTCGAAACATGCTAATTAATGCCTTATCCCATTGCCATATCAGTTTAAGATGATCAACTCCCCTTTTAAAAGTGTGCAGAAATAGGATTGCAAAATAACCGTCAGCAAAATTTTGCTAATTTGTGAACATGAGTCACACTTCTTTTTAATATTTGAATATCTTAATATTGATAACTGCTATGTGTGAATAAGTAGCCTTATAGAGGTTTTTTAATTACATCCAACTGACTGCTACCTTTTTCAATACGTAGATTTCTCGTTATAATGTCGATATTTCTGATATTCATAAAAAATACTATATAGAAATGTATTGTTTCTTTGAAGCCGACCGTTTTTTTTTTTTTTTTTTTTGCCTTTTTTTCACTAGATCCTCTAATTGCTCTTCTTTCACCATGTGACCCCAAAGCTTTCGTAAGACATAGACTGAAGTAGAATAACATGATCTAGCTGCAAGTGTCTGTCATTCTGAGCCGCATCACAGAGATTAATCAATCAAAGAGTTAATTCCATCGCTGGCAGGCGAACCACCATTCACTAAGCGCTTATAACCTCTCTAATGGAAACGGCGTTCAACGTTTGCAAACTCCACTCATAGCGAGACGACGGTTTGATGGCTTAGACAACGATTTCTGATGCAGACACATTTATCTCCAGAACATCAATGGCGGTATTATGATCAATGGTTGCCGCCAGGGATGTTCGATACAGAAATTACATTCTTTCTCAGTAAATTGGCTCATTTCTTGCGGCCATGATTCTTGATATCATTTTAAAGATTGATAACGTGCCAGTTCACAAAGTGTGTGCTAGAATTGCAAACACTACTTTGTATGGAACGGCTGTCGAGGTCACGAGACTGAAATTCCGTCGAACATGTATGGAAATTGCTTAGATGTTTAATTTCACTCCATGACCTTCACGTAACTTCTGCGAGCTAAGAACATAGCGGTTCCGTGAATGGACATAGATGTCACAAATGCCCCAAATGAAGACTAACTGACGTATGTAAACTAACTGGTATGTGTTTCGAACTAACTGACTATTCTTGACTAATTGTGACTAATTCTTCACTAATTTGACTTCGTCGGTTAGTGCCAAAAATAGTCAGTAACTTACTGACTATTCTTGCCACTAACTGACGTCGTCTAGTATGTGTTTCAAACTGAGATCATAATGTTATGTATTACTAACCTCCAATAACAAATTCATTTGCCGTCATATCCGTTAATTTTGTTTACTTCATAATTATTTTTAATTTTCTTGGCCTTCATCAATTAATTGTAACTCAATATATGCAGAATCTCAATGAATTAAAATACATATTTTTATCCACTTATTCCTTTTCGTTACTAAACTTTCGGGCATGAATGTAGTTCTCAATAAATACGTGCAAGAGTTGTTTATATAGTAAATGAATTTTAGGTTAAGTTACGAGATATTTGCCAAAAGCTGCAAAGAAGTCTGCATCTGAATAAACAAACTGATAGAATTCTGTGTTTGCTCTTCGCAAGCTTTCGACTCATTGGCAATATGCTTTGCTTGAATTATTTGAAGAAGTCTTGAGAGTAAACGCTTTTCAGCGTTATTCAAGACGTGCAAGATTTTTTTTTTCTTTTCTTACTCGGCTGAGTAAAAGTATTTCTATGTTTGTTCTGTCAATTTTCTTATGCTTCTTTAGAAACAGAAATTATGTGTGATAGATATGAAGGGAAAGACGTGGCATAATGGAAGTGATCAAATACCTGTAGCATTATTGCAAATCGTATTGGAAGAAACATTAAAATCTTTAATTAATTAAAATTCTCCTAAATTAATTGAAAATGCAATTTATATACGAGGAAAAAAGGTCGAAAAGAAAAGAAAATTCACGCATGCTGTTAGGACTTTAAAAAAAAAGTTTTATATATGTTCAAATTTCAAATTTTACTTTTTGAAAAAATGAATGAATTGACAAATTAAAATTGTTAACATTAACTATACATGTTTTAAAATTATGCATTTTAGGACTTTTCTTGCAATATTCCGGCTCTGATAACGTTTCAAATAAAAGTTTGTAATGTATGGTCATCAACTGAACAGTAATTGGTTTTATTTTATGTATATATATTAAAATTCTATACACGGAAAATATTTAAGAAACGAGTTATAATTTAATGGCCATTTAGAGAGTTTACTTTCTTTAAACTGCGTTTTCATAGTTTTTTCGAGTATGTTTTCCGATAAATACGTACTTTTACTTAAAATGCTAAAACTCATACAGATATGCATTCAATTAATTAAGACATAATAACACGCCGAATAAATACTAATTCAGAAGTCAAACAACAAAAATAACGTTAAACTGTGAAAATTTTGTAAATATAACGCTGATTTTTGTTGTTTGACTTCTGAATTATGCATTCAATTATTTAATATTTTTACTGCTTGTTTATAATTATATACGTGATAGAAATAAGGACGGATTTTACTAAATATTGAAAAGGGAAATTATTGGAAGTGAAAATGTAATTGAAATCGTATCTTTTTCGAAGTTCTTGCACATGAATAGATATTAATTTTTTCATCCAAAATTAATTAATTGATTCGTAAAGTTATTAAGAACCTTCTAATTAATGCACTAAAAATGGGATAAAAGCATTGAAAACTTCAAAAGAAGAAAATATTTTAGATATTAAATTTTCCTTCTAAAATTTAAGTTAAATCAAATTGCTGGCAAAAATTTTTTTCTGCGTGTTTTTCAATTGAAAGTCATTTTGCTTAACAAAATCATTTAATAATATTCATGTTAAATAGATAAAAGTTCTTAAATAAAAAATCATTCAAAAGATACAGAGTCTCATTAAAGAAACATACGAGAACGCGAAATAAATTTTCCTGTAGCTAGAATATAATAGATTTCGAGCAAATGTTCTGTAATTTTAAACTTATCGCAATTTTGGTGGGTTTAGAGCGTTGTACAAAATACTGTTATTTCGTATGGTAATAGGGCCAGGGATTTACATTGCGAAATGAAAGACTGTTCTCCACTAGTATCTTTCACGTCTGATATGAACGATGTTACTTTACAGCCTCTTGTAAATCTAAACAAGGTTTAGCTTCCACTTTATATCAAATCTCGATTTGATAAAATTTTTTTTGAAAGCATTACAGAAAGATGATCCGTCGTTTGCACACTAACCTTCAAATTTCCATACCTAATTTTGGATAAAATAAAAAGAATTTATCTTTATTGGGCTTCACACGCGTAATTTGTAACGTGTAATCAGTGTGAGCAGAAACGCAGTGATGGTGAATAAATAGTATTTAAAAATAAATCGGGGAAAATCTTGCGACACTGGTAGAAAGATTGGTCCCAAATATTGTTGAAGACTAATGTCATCATTCTCATTTGAACTGCTTTCTTGACAATTGTGGTAATGTGAGAAATGAACAGGGAGAATTTTTTATCCGAAAATAGGTGCAATAGAAGAAAGATGCAAAGAGAAATAATTTGCGGTTATGGTCAGCCGATTTCTGTTGGAATATATAGGAATGATATGGCGCAAGCTGTAAACAAGAAGCTGAAATACGCAGGCAGCTTCAAACCTTTCAACATTTATAGTATTTTGTTCAACATTCATCGGAATTTAAGTATTGTGTGCTGCGTTTTCCTGTGCAAGAGGATTTCATAGGCGAACAGTTATTAATTACTCTAACAAGAAAAGAGGATGATTTCGAAATTTTGTCAATACTTGTAAACAAAAGCTAGTTTTAGAAAATAAAGAGCATTTTTTACGTTCAGGAGGTGGTATTTATTGAGAAATTATTTCATCTATTGAGTCTCGTATTCTTTGGTAACATAAACTAATAGCTCTAGGAAGAGTATAGAGGAATTATCCTCAGGTCTTGTGACAGCATATAAGGTCAGAAGGAAGCGTGTAAATGGCCCTTTATTTAATTTTATATAGTTGCACAAACGGCCCCACTTGGGTTTTCATAAGCCAACACTCATGGCTTAACTTCAACAAGTAATGCTGAATTTAAAATAAAATGTAATTAAAGTTGCCTAATGGTTCACAGGAAAATTTAAACTGTCAGGCAAGATCTGGCTGATAGAAACGGCTGGAAGAGGCCTAATGGCTAGAAGCACTCAACGCCATAATCATATTTGATTATGTGGCTCAAAGTAACAATGTGGTCTTCAAACAGGCATAACACGCTCTAAACACACCTTCCGAAACTTAAATAGCACTTCTTTCTCCCTAATTTGAGTAAACACGCGCTAACTGATAACATTCTGGCAGGAAAGCGTGGGTGAAATGGAGAATCAAAGGAAATTTCCTTTAACTAAAAATGAACTATTAGTAAAAATAAATGAATCTCTACACATATCTGTAACGGAAAAATGTAAAAAATAGTAGAACAACATAATTGTTTTACTTCTCATTTTCTATACGATAAATTGTTGTAATGAAGTTGTCTTTGGCTTTATAAAGGCATGCATATATTATTACACGCATTTTGCCTCCATGTATATTAGCATCCATGAATACTTTTGACATTGTTAAGATTAAAGTAATTTTAGGTATCATCACCGACCAATAATTTGACTTGGTGGCGGACGACACAAAGATATGGAATTCATATCTGCAGTCTCTTAACAAGCCGCATTCTCTGAGCTGTTACGAGGATATTGCAGGAACAATAACTCGTTCGGTCACGAGGCTTAAGAGTCATAACTTAACGACAGATCAGGGGATTTTAGCGATTTTCACTGTGATTGTCATTAAGGCCTCTCTAATTCAAGGAACTTACCGGTCAGTGGTCTTATTTCTCATCCGATGTCGTCTTCAACTATTACAAATCAGAGGACGTAAAATGCAACCGAAAAGGGCGCGACTAATTCAGCCTGCAAACTGTTCCAGACATAGCAAGTGCGCCAGGACTCTCGACTAGGAAGACTCTTGCCGCTAAGAAGATACCTTAAATTCCAAGTAATTTGTTTCTATGTATTTAATATTAATTATTATTTGCCGTTATTATATTCATAAGAGAGTTCTTCGTAGATTTGTAAAAGTGTTTTTAGTTCAATGTGCCGTTTAAACTTACCTAAACGCAACTAACTGCTACAAATGAGTCGAAGCATTAGCGCACCAGCGCCCCAGCATTCCAAAATGATTTGATATTACACTCAATGCTTTTACACTATGCTTTTATGTGGGGAAATGTTAAGGATATTTGTTATGCTGGTACCAGTTCTAGATTAAAGTCGAAACCACAATTTTAGACTTGCTGCAACTTGCATGAGAAGAACTCGAACTGGATATAAAGCGGTTAATGGCTAGAAAGTTGGACGGAAAGTTTTTGATACGCAAGTAAAATTTGATATTTTTTTCCTATAGCCACAATGGCTCCTTTTTCATAAATACAGGATGATTCAAATAAACGGATAATTTTGAAAGTTGCGTCGGCAACAGTGAGCGTTTGGTAGCATTGAATAACGTACGACAGCCTGTCAACGACACCTTGGCATTTTAGTTATAATGAATGCGTGGAGTGGTGCGCAACTTGCTTTCGCGATTAGTGTTGTACATAAACAATGACAGTGTGGAGGGGCCACGTAGAGAATTCCGCCGTCATTTTAATTCAGGACGCTATGATTGTATTCCATCAGTGCATGCAGTTAAAACGTGGACATGTAATTTTGAGGAAACTGGTTCGGTAATGAAAAAAAAATAACCTTCAGGTTGTATGCAAACCGTTCGTGCACCAGACAATATTCAGGCTGTTCTAGATGTTGTCATAAGAAGTCAATCAATTCGTCGTTACTCAGCACCTTTACATAAATGCGAGGCAATATCCGAGAAGCGATTGCAGAAATTCCAGTTGAGATGGTAGGTCAAACCATGAACAATGCAACGGAAGAGACTGCAGGAATGTTAGCGTAGAGAAAGAGCTCACCTGCAGATGTCATTTTAAAAAATAAATTGTACTGTATGTATTCTAAAATGGCATTATTTTTGTTATTAAATGAGATAAATAATTTGTTTTCATTAAATTATTTAATTTTCAAAATTTCCCGTTTTTTTTAATCACCCTGTAGTTAATTTTTTTTAAATGCGAAAAGTGCAATCCAACTACGAGAAAAATCTACGATCACAAAAACGCATGCAATTTTCAAACCGATTTATTTGAAAAACACAGCGCATGGTCACGGTGTTTCACACGTCTGATGCTGACTGAATGAATATGATCTGTGGATTTTCTCTCATTATTTTTAAAGCACCTTTAGTATACAATAATGTTTAAACTTTTCAGAATGGTGAACTTTCGTCTCTACCACCTCTCACCCGTGCTTTGTTTGCTTGTTTATGCAGTACTCCTGTGGACTGGGCTATTAAGAAAGGATACCTAGAAGCAAGTTATACCAGAAAAGGCACAACACTTGTCAGTAAGTTGAAAAGAATAAAATTCATAATTGTTGCCGAATACGAAAATATAAAATTAACACATTTACATTAAATCTTTTCCTCGAAATAATTGATGCACGCTATAAAAGCATTTTGAACAGTTATTACAACAAATCCTTGACTGGCTAGTTTGGAAAACTCATCTTTGACTAAAAATATTGAAACTGAGGATTTATTGATATACTTTACGTAAATAACTTTGTTGTGCAGTCTGTTTAAATGTATTTAGAATACCCAAACGATGTTTAAGCTAGCTTTACACTCGGGCAGAATTCAATGAAGCAAAAATTTATTTTAAAGTAAAATGCTGAATATATCATTTAACTTATCGAATATTGCGCAAAAATAGTAAAATAGGACCAGTCTATTAGCATTCACCGTTAATATACTCGGATGAAAACTTTGTATGCCTAAAGAATGAATTACTAAATTGCTGGATGGAAAGGGTGCCCCATCAACATTGTCAGATATCTTTCTTTCTTGATGAATCTCGGGAATATTTGTGTTAGGTTGCGATTTAATTCCCTTGTCGAAATTTTTAGTAGTGCAGTTAGTTTATTTTAACTCATTTATTTTAAGTTGCTTAATGGATAATTTCTTGTAAGTCGTGTTTAAAGTATTTGTATTTTACTTGTTAAACTAGCGTAAATATGAATTAATGCATCCTGAAAGAATATCTAGTGTTTCAAAGACTTTAGTACTTAGTGTTTCAGAGACCTGTCGCTTGTGAGTATTTAACAGTAAGTATTCATTTTTAGGATGTTTCGACTATTATTGCTATTAAAAATTCTACTTGTTAATTTAGCTTTTTCAGACTTTTTTATATTTTAAAAACTCTGGTGTTGGTTATTTTTAGTTTTGTGACAAACATTTGTAGTAAGAAGCGTTAAAAATGAAGATATTTGAATTTTTGTTGTAATTCTACCTTTTTTAAAAATCATTTCGTAACTTCTTAAAGTAAAAATATATTAAAATTTTAAGAGGAAACAAACAAGTGCCTTTAAATTTCTCGCTTCATCTATTTCCTGCGGCTGCGAGTTGAGGAGAAGTTGTTAGCTTCTTTTCTTTTAAGAAGGGGAGACATATCTGTTGTCATAGGTGTCTTGTACTGTTTCGGAAGTAAAAGGATAAGCTAATTTTAGGGACTTACTTTTCTCTCGCTGTGGGTGAGATTTGAGTTTTCCTGGATGTCAGTGTTGTACGACACGGAAGCCGCAGAAGTTGTCGTCCATCTTTTTTGAGATTTTCGGCTCTTATTTTTTTATTAGAATATTTTCCATTAAATCTATGTAATGAAGGCATCCTTTTTCAATACATATAGCGGTAAAAGCTCCAAATATATTGCATTAACAAAACTTCGAAGGCGGATCTTAGTGACATCATAAATTGGTGATATTAAGCTTGTGACATCACAATATATTATTGCATTTTATAACGTGAAATTTACTTTTTTTCTACTGAAAATAACAATAACAAGTTATTTATTATCTTTAACATTAAATCCTTTTTTTAACTTACGTTTCTAAAAGTTAATTCTGAATTAAGATGATAGAACAATTCAATTCTAACATTTATTAAAACGGTAAATAATATTGCAATCTCACATACTTGTATTTTATGCAACTGCAATATTTTCAAAGATGTTAATCTTTTACATCAACAAAAATTAGAAAAAATCATTTTAAATTTAAATTCATATCATGGAACGTTTTTTGTACTATTTAGACAAATGACGTTATTTCTAAAATGTGACTTTTTATGGTTTATTTATTCTCGCAATCCTTTATATACTATTAAGTAAAAAATTTAAACTTCAGCACCAATGAAAAAAGATAATTTTTTTTGGAGAATATAACATTATAAACAGTTTTCATTTCTTTGTTTCTTAAATCTCTTAATAACGTCATATTCTCCTTATGTATATCACTATTCATATATCAGTAACTGAAAAATATAATTTCTCGCAGTAAGAAAAATAACACAAGAAAATCAAACTAGAAATTTGGAATAAGCAATGTTTCGAGTAGAAAATGTACTAGCAAAAGCAAATGCAGTAGCGATCAATCGCTATGTATTAAAATAATAAGGTAAAAATTACTTATAGGGTGCAGTTTTGCTAGTCATTGTAAAAAGATCGTCAATCTATCCACATTTATCGTAAGTCGGAAAACATTATCAACGTATCAAAAGAACACAATTAAAAATACAATTTAGAATACAAAAATTATGATTAAAATTGTAATTTAAAATGCAGAATACATGGTTAAAAGTACAATTTACATTAAACACTGCTGTACTAATTAAAAATACACAAACGATAGAGTAAGTATTGCACATAATGTACGATACATTACTGTCGCTCTCCCAATTGTACACAGCGATATGTTTTCACTAAAAATATGAGAGAATTGCACAAATTCGGCTTCGCGCTCAGCTTCGACTTTGCTCATCAGCGATAACCATGATTTTTGTAGAACAACTGAAACTTCAACGTACACTTCAAAGTAATGAAAATAAAAGAAATATTCTGTTTTTCACCGTTTAAAATTGAGGTGTTTAAAAAATAACAGGTAGCAGTGAAACACAGAACAAGTGAATGTGGAAGAATTATTTACACTCCATTGATTGGTAAAAAATAAGGTTTCCAGAATAATGAATGATCCAAGAACAAATATAAGGTTACCGGAATAAAGTTATAAACTAACAATGAAATCACCAAATGTAGCGCAGTCGATGTGTGTTTTAGCTAATAAATAATAATACTACATGAAACTTTCCTCGAGTCGTCTCTTTTCCCTCCAAATGGTAAAAACATCTAAATATAAATTTTTATTCATACTGTAGGAAGCACCGACATCGGCATACTAATCAGTGATAAAAAATGTTTTTGCACTTAAAAATGTTTTGCGCTAAAAGCCTTTTTTTTAATTTGAGCAGTTACGGTTAAAATGTTTAAATCATTCAGTATTTTGAATCGCTTGGTAAATTTTATACTAATGATATTTTACGCGTTATCTCACTGTGTTAAGTGGTTACAATTGTACACAACGCACAAAAAATAAATTTATAGTTGAAATAATTATTTTTATCATAAATTTATTTTTTTGAGTGCGTTACTTTGAGTGTGTTGTTTGTGTTACTTTGTGTGTGTGTTTTTGTGTTATGTTTGCTTGTGTTTATAATGTTACTGCAGGAGATGAGTAACAACATAAACTTAAACCTAATATTTCAACTTAAACTTTCTTCAAATTTGAAGTTATATATATTTAAAATAATCTGCCATTAGGAGGGAAAAAACAACTCTTTATTTATTTATTTATTTTATTCTAATGGCAGATTACAAAGACAACTGCACACAGAACAAGCAATTCATCTTTGCTTGTTCTGTCTAAAGCTGTTTTTGTAATCTGGCATTAGATATAAAAATATTTCAAACAATAACCATATAAATATGCCATTTTCAATCAGTTAAAGCTCAGCTGCAACCTGCTTTTCGGAAGAGGCTGAGCCATTAATGCGTTAGAAAAAGGTGTGCCCAAGCTTAAGGCAACTAAACATCATCTTTAATCTGAGCAACGTCTTCTAGAATTCAACCTAGATGGCCTTTCAGTCGATATTTTTAGAGAAAGCCCTTTGAGTCTTGAAAACTGAACTTCTTTCATTACGCTAAGAAACAATTTTTTAGTTTTTATACCAACTTTGATTCTTCTGTCGAGATGAGTTGAAATGTTAGCATATATGTATTTATATTTCAGTATTTAAGTATCTAATAATTACTAACAAACTAACACAACTATTCTTATATATACCTTAATAATAAATTATATTATCTATACCAAAATATTTACACAAATCATCGAATTCTTTGGGCATTTAATATCCCATATTTTCTCAATCTAATTTTGCTATATGCTCTCAATCTGCTATGAGGATAGCACACGGAAAAATCATAATCAGGTTCTTCTTTTTGAGTTTAATAATTAGCTACTTTTGAAAGCAAATAAAGTGTGTGCTTGAAAGATCGAAGGTGAGTCTGAATACGGAACTGGGGAATATTGTTTCAAAACGGCCTTGAAACATTTTGCTACATCTCGTTTTATTGCTGTACAGTATAGGGTGCTTGTTATTGCAATAGCATACTAAAAATGCCGATTTTAAATTAAGATTGATATAAAGTAAAGATACGAGTATTTTATACCTTGCGAAACTTCGAATGGGGCAAGAAAGTTAGAACTAACGTGAATATATTCAAGGTACCTGTCGTGAAATTAAAACCCTTTAAATCCATTTCACATTTTCGTACATCCTGACAACTTACTTTTTTGTTATACAGTTATTATAATACTGATGATAGAAGAGATTTTCATAACCTAAACATCAAAATTTTTCCAATATTAAAATCTGCTCCTGGAAATATTTTCTCTTTACATTTTCTAGTCCAAATGAATTTTACTCTTAATGAAAAATTAATTAACAGACCACTAATTAAATAATTCCAGAAATGTTTCATGAAAAATATGTTTATAAAGCTACGCATTTAATATCAAAACATTAAAAATGGTTCTGTTGTAGAAGCGAATTAAAAAAAACTGACTTCTTTTCTTTCAGATTCGATATTATTCTGCGTCGGTATGATTGGTGTACTCTTGGCCAAGTGCAACCTACTTCTGACAATTACATCCTTCACTGTTGGAGGTATTCTTGGCAATTGCGTCACATTTGGAGTTTGTATGGCTGCCATCGATATAGCTCCAAATCTCTCAGGTGCGTATGAAAGTTTCTTACTGCTAAAGAAATATTTTGCTTTATTTTATTTGTAAGTTATAAGGGTGGATTAATTTTGATTTCGAAATTTTTTGTTTGCCTTGCTTTTTCCTCGAAAGGCAATTAACTCATTTTTAAACTCCATACTTCTTATGTAATTTGAATATGAGTATTTTAGACAAGTAAGTCTAATTTTATTCTAAAATATTTTTGAGCTCTAAAAACGTTCTAGGAGTCCTCCTAATTACTTGTGCAAGTTTCATGTATCTTTTTAAATTAATATCACTGAGTGCTGTCTGAAATATAAATACCATTCAAAACTCATTAAACTGTCAAACACAATTTTTATAATTAATAGCCATTTTCGTTTACATATTTTGAGATCAAATGAAACAATTATCGAGGTTATTAAAACGAAACTATTGTCTGAAAGAGATAACCTTTCTAACGTTAAAATTAACACGTTCGCTGCCATTTGCGAGAATACTCATAGGTGGCAAACTGAGTTTACTTTCCAGCTACGAGATAATTTGTTACTGAACGCGTAACCTGAATCACCCAATACGAATATTGCCGTAGCGAAGAGAAATGCATGCAATGTTTAGATGTTTGGCGTGCAGGAAGGGACTAAATGAAATATTTGCCATACTAAGATGGATAATTTATTTTTCAAAGCGTAAATACAATAAATACATGTTTTAAACGGGGGGGGGGGGTTGTGGCTTACTCACTTGGGAAATGTTACAAACGGACTGCTCAAATTCTTTCTCGGTGACGTGTGCAAATTTAAAGGAAAATTACGTACCTCATGTGACAGAAGTTTTATGTGAATTCTCAGAACGGGTGAGTATTTTTTATCTATTTCCAAGTGTTATCTCGTCGTTTGCATAGGGAGGAAAACTACTGGTCAATTACAAGTATATTCGTATGAATTAATTTATTGCTAAAAGTATTCTGTTTTATCTATAATTTAAATAACAAGACAACAGAAAATAATTCAAAAGCATAATATGGATAGGATTTTAGCGTGTATGAACGGAAACACAACATCAGCTATGGCAGAGAGTGTTAAGAATGCAGGCTAAAAAAATCGATATTGCGTATGCGCACGCTTTAAAAATAAAACCTGCAATATGTAAAATAACTAATGACTAATAGTAAGGATAATAAAGTAGCCATATCTTTATGAAAATTGCATTGATCAAAATAAAATACTGATTATAAATTTCAACTATTATTGCTATAAAAATTGCCTATTTAGTGAGAGAGTTAATAAAATATATAATGGAGGTAAAACTTACTGATTTGGTGGTAAAGATTCAGAAATAAATTTTTATTAAATAGATATTACATAAATAACTTTTATAATAATATAGAAACGTTTAATAAAATTAATAATACAAAAAACTTAAAAAAATTATTTTAAAACTACGCAATTTCAATTATTTTGTTTATTAAAAATTTCATTTACAAAAGATTTTATTCCACGAACTCATTTTGAAAGAATGATAAAGGAATCTCAACAATATATCATTTTGAATATTATGAAGCAATGATTCCTTTTGCGACTAAACTAAAGCTTAGGTCAAAGGTATGTGAGCAGTCTGATGAACAGCAAGAAATTTTTACGTTTCGGAAATTCTTTAAAGCTTTTGACAAACAAGGAAGGAAAATATTATCCTGAATATTATTAGAAGTAATATGATATTATCATCTCTGCATATACCGCAAATATGGGGCTTAACTCGATATTAGAATGGAATTTCCCTCGGGAGATTAGAACAGTTCTCCCTCATAGTAAGGAAGAATTAAGACCAAGTTTAAATACACTTTATATTTTGCACATTATAAAAAAGTTATCATGCTAAAAATTAAAAGAACTTAATAAAGCAGTCATAAGAGATCATAATTTAGCTTAGCTTCTATTGCGCTGCTCGGAAATTTTTTAATTGTTCTAAAAGCCACTGAGAAAATTCTTATTTTCTGTAACTATTATTTGAACGCATATGGCATTTCATGTATTCGATAGTACTAAACAGTATTCGTTATTATATTACTTATTTGATGCCTTTTCTAAAATCTCGTTTATGTCAGAAAAAACAGCTATTGTGGCTCTCATGACTATCACATTTTCTGCGTCGTTGTCAAACTTCTCAATGCATTTGAAATAATCTTTCAGTAAGAGTTCGAAAAAACCATTACAGCCGGTTTGATTTCTTTTAAAGCTCTGCAATCTGAAAAATATTTTTATGTTTTCTTTTCAGGCACTTTATCTGGTATATTAGGAACTATTGGAGTGATACCATTCTTCGCCGTGCCAACCTTCATCGGATGGTTAACAAAATATGAGGTACAGAGTATTTTTTATTGAATTCATTAGACATTGTAGAAGAGCCGATTAGAGAAACAGTTTTCTTCACATCACAATGTATATAAATCATTATTCGAATATATCATTATAGATATGATCTTTATTCTCTCACATGTCTTGTTTAGTTACTAAGATAAGATAAAATACTCTTTTTCATGCCATTTATGATTTGCAACAAAAGAGGATAACTTAAAGCAGCAGAAAGTGGTCAGAGAAATGGGATAACATCACGTAATTACCCAGAACACAAAATAAATCTTCTTTTATTAGACGGATGGATCGTAATAAATTGTGTGTGTAACCGGAAGGGATTTGGGCTAATTTTAGTTGAGATGATGTATGTTAATTCATATCATTTCAAAATTGAAATAATACATAGAAAATTTATCAGAGTAGACCCTGTAATAATCAACAACCATGAACGTATCCTTCGGGATATACTGCGCAATAAACGAAATTATTTGGATTACAAAATTCTGCATTAGCACCTGTTCACGGAAGTTTTGCTTGTGGATTCCCACTTACTTTGGAATTTAGAAGACTACAAAGTAAACAAAGGTGCTAGGTGCTCTTTTACATTATATTTCTGAAAATTTGATGCAAGCTGAAATATATGTTCAAAACATTCAACATTTAAAACTTTTTTTTTGATCAATTCATTTTATTGTTTCATTATAGAAAACAACGTAACTAAAAAGGAGTGAGAGCCATGTGTTACTTCATATGCATACATTTCAGTATTGACAAAAAATGAGATAAATTAACGTGCTGATTCGTTTAAAAATCCTCCCAGCAATATGTGTAACTGCTCCAGAAATAATTATATACTGCGTAGTACTGGTGCGAATCAAATAGCGGCAATAAAACAAATCTTTGAACCATGCTTCGCATTTAAAGGCAAATTCTATTATCAAAAGCATGCAAAAGGCTGATATTTCATTTTGGAACATTCATGTTTAGTCTGCTTGTGTTTATTCCAATGAACGTTTATGCTTTAATACTACTGCAACAAACTTATCTGTAGGCAATTACGTCACTGTCTTGCGTCACTTTGTATAGCTTGTAATGGCGAAGAGCTGTAGGGTGTAGAGTAGACAGTATAAAGGACAGTTAGAGAGGAGACAGTAGAAACGTACTAATGGATCAGTAAATGAATTTCAGTTAGATAATTCGAAAAATAAATTAAAATTTTACAAAATCGTATGTATAGCATTGTGAAATCTCAGCGTTTTCGAGAATAAATTAATATTATGAATACTTCTCTTAATTCAGTTAGATTCGGTAGAGCACAAAATTCATTTGATACGTCTTAATGTGTTCCAAAGTTGAAACTTAACAATAATTTCCTTTTTAAAATTAATTTCTGAATGTTCATAACTAACTTGGGGCCCCTTCTATTTGTTCAGGGGTTCCTTAGCCTAGTCCCCTGTCTTCACCTTTTGCCGGGTTCTGTCATCACGATAGACTGATCCGTTGTGATGAGAAATGATTAGCTCTCATGCATAAGGCTGAGATATGCGGAATACTGCAGGAGAGATTCACAGTACTTGATATTTGTATTGATGAGTAGATAGACTGCAGACATGTAGTAATCATTCAGTAGACATCAGGCCATATAGAAGCAGAGAGTTTTATCCTTGGAGAATTAATGCCAACTTATTCCCAGTGCATTTGTCCGCTTTTGTTCCTAACTGAAACTACGCAGTTCTCATAAAGTTAGGAAGCTATTACTCTGGAACAGTATATTTCAGCTAGGTTTAGTAAAGTCTGTAGTTTAATAAAGTCTGTTTTCGAAGCTAATAGACATCAATATCCTCGCCATGAAATAAAACCTGCAATGGTTCAGTCAGAATTTGAATTACGGAGCTTCCGATGCTAGCCGAACGTGCTACTTACTACTTAAACCACGAAAGCATGCAGTGAGAAAGCCGAAAAAAATCCTTTAAATTTAGTGAACGTTAGTTTCGAAATGATTTCTTAATGGGAGAAGGAAAAAAAAAAAAAAAACGTTTTGAGTTGAAAAATTAATGTAAGTTATGGTTTTAAGTAATTCTTGTGCAAATATTCACCTCTTTACGGGTCTTCTGTAAGAAATTGCAGGTTTACGAAAAAACTACATTATTACCTTCTTTTGGTTACGAAAAGAGTTCGAAGAAAATTTTCGCTTTTACAAAGAAAAGCGAAAAATAGTTCAGTATCTGTTTTATGCAGTGATTACAGAAAATAAGACTAGTTATGTCATACCATATGGTATCAAAGAAACATTTACAAGATATTACGGTTGTCTGTAAAGAAACATACAGTAGAGAAATTTTTGTCAGTTTTTCCACTTATACATACCATTTTACATATAGTTAATGAAAGTGTTCATTGCCACATGTACCTCTTCCACTGAATTCATTCTTTTTTCAAGATTTTACAAATTTGCGACCATATAAATTGTCACACCTCGCGCCCGTTCAGACACGAGGCGGGTTCGTTCGTACACTCACCATAACAGGAAAATAATCTTCATCAGCTTTGAAATTTTATCCACTAATTTATTACACATAACGGTACACAATATTCTTTAAAATGAAATCACTGTTATCCATAAGAAAAAAAAAATACTATATACAATATAAAGCGCGCAAAAACATGTTTCAGTTATCTCCTTTCAAACGGCATGCTTGCCGGTCCACTCCAAAAGTTCTCAAGTCCCTTCTTCACCCCACCAGTCTGACTCGACCGGTTTTTTCAGTTAGCCACGTCACTTCCCTTAATTGCCTTTCAGCCTCGCGGAGAAAAAGTCTTCCGCTAGGGAAAGGAATTTTACATAAATAGAAGTAACAAATTGTACATGTATATTTTTATCTCTGTTTAAACGCTTCATTTATTTATTACGGCATTATTCCTTTTATTGCTCTCTCAAGATTTGAGAGATGTTGGATATGATTTAGCAATTTTCTTTGAAGACATGGGAAAGTTGAAACCCTTTTTTTATGAAAATTAATGTTAATTTCTTCACTTTACCCCATTTTTGGCTTATGAAAAGCTTTACTGAAACGTTGTATTTTCATAAAGCAGAGAAAAACTGTATAATAATTTAACATCTGCTGTCTGATATTTTACTTCATTTGCATTTGTAAATCATTTCATTTATAAATGAATGGGAATTTTTTATGTTTCTTCTTAGCGGTCCATGACACAATGGAGTTACTTTTATTACTCGACCATTGGAGTTGTCATTATAACAACAATTGTTTTCCTTGTTTTTGGGTCATCAAAACCTCAGTCTTGGGGCGTCAATGGCACAGAAAGCACTGAAGAAGGCAAAGCAGAAGATGTGCAAGAACCTGTTCCAGCCAATTAATTTCAAAACTGAATTTAGCAAATCATTCATTTCGTTGCTGTATTGTTTTCATTGTTGAACAGAAATGAACGATACACTTTTTTCCTCCAGTAAAATCAGGCAAGAGCAAATTGAAGAACCTCCAAGTCATTCTAGCAAACTTATATATTATTTCAGAGTGATTTGAGTTGTGAATCTTTCTCAGAATGTATTATCGAATACAAAATTTTAATAAAGCAATTCAGCACTGTCGTGTTCTTGATTTGATTTTTCATAGAAACGAAATTGCACATTGCTATAGTTTTGTTTACTACTATTTAGTAATTCAGAAGTCAAACAACAAAAACCAGCGTTATATTTTCAAAATTTTCACAGGACTAGTTTCGATGGTTTTACCGAACCACCATCCTCAGCTGCAAAACCGCAAATGAACAAGATAGGAAATAATGATTAGATAAGATAAGAAAGCCTGGACAAGAATAAGCAAGTGGCGCCATCTGTTGGTGAAACCAGAACTAAAACATAATTTGTTTAAAGGCCGAAGGCAACGATGGATTGGAATTAGGATCGTTAACTAGAACAGAAAGATTTTTTTTAATGTGAAATGCCTCTAGAAAATCCAGTTCTCCAATGGAAAATGTTTTTTGAATACTTTTGGCAGAAAAATTGAAAGTGTGCTTTTCGGACTATCTAACATATGCATCATGTCCCTTAACGCGAAATTTAAAGGCTCTCTTAGTTTGGCCAATGTAAATTAAGCCACACTGGCAAGGAATCCTGTAAATACCCCAGGAATTCCTATCCGGAATGGGGTCCTTGAGTATGGAACTCGGAATTTTATTGATGGGAGAATAAACGGCCCGAAAGTTGTAAATGTACATTTACATTGGCCAAACTAGGAGAGCCTTAAAATTTCGCGTCAAGGAACATGAGGCATATGTTAGAAAAAAGGAAACACAGAAGTCTTCCGTTGTTGGTCCGAAAATAACACTTTCAATTTTTCTGGTGTCGGTACAACTCTGACGTTAGTTTCCCCCCCTCACCCTCGCTAACTGTGATTGGACTTGATAAAAAAAAAAAAAAAAAAAAAAAAAAAAAAAAAAAAAAAAAGAAGGAGAAACATTTTCTCCTTGTATGACTCACTTCTCGCGTTATGCAATGGACAGTAAACAACGCTTGTAATCATCGCTATATTTTTTCTTCATATACCTAATAAATTGTTATTTTGTGTTTTGCTAATATAATGATCGTGTTCCTTTACCTCCGCAGCTTGGATTACACTTTATTAAGGTAAGAACTTTAATTCTGTTTTATTCATCTGCTCATCTCGATTTAGCGAAAGTTGTAATAGTACAACAAAATGAACCACTGCACACCTTCAACAATAGATTACAAGACCGAGCATATGTTTACTTCAACTAAACGCAGAAAATATATCGAGATAAGCTATGAAGGATAAAAAATGCAAAACAGAAAAGATACTTTGCCATAAATTATCGCTGGATAATCCGAAAAAGGAAAAGCCAAGCCTGTCTCTTCAAAAGCGGAAACAAAACTGCATAGTTGTGTACTGCGCATTCGAAATACAGAAGCAACTGAAGCTACTAGCTGCGAAAAATAAATATTCGAATCATGAAACTAAACAATAACAACTATCAAGTATGGAAATACAAACTTGAAATGATCCTGAAAAAGGAAAATTTATGGGATTTAATAGCAGATGATACACCAAAAGAAATAAACGTCGAATGGAGGAAAACGAGATGAACAAGCACAAGCTACCATTAGTTTACTCGTAGAAGACAACCCAAACGTACACATAAGAATAAAACGACAGCCAAAGAAATATGGAATGAATTAAAGAAAATACATGAAAGAAAGAATCTTTCCAGTAAACTTTACCTCTGAGAAAGCTGTATACGTTAAAAGCAGAAAACGAATACAAACACGAAGAACGCGTCAACAAAATGCTCGAAATCGTAGACGAACTGCGAGGAATCGTTGAAGAAATAAAGGACAGTCACATTGCAGCGCTCTTACTAAGTGGCTTACCAAAAAGCTACGAAAATCTCATTACAGCTTTAGAAGCACGCCCAGAAGAAGAACTAATGCTGGAATACGTAAAAACGAAACTCATCGACGAATGCCTGAGAAGAAAAGAAGTCACGCGAACAGAAGAAACGACTGCCTTCAAAACGAATTTTAGCACAACATTCAAGCATTTCAATCAACGAAGATGCAATTATTGCAAAAGAATAGGACACTCAGAAAAAGAATGTAGATTTTTAAATAACCACAAAGAAAAAGATAAAAATGAAAGTAACTCATTTTTCAAGAATGAAAAGCAAACTAATAAAGGAAATAATTATGAAATAAATAGAAAACGAAAGTTGCTGTAAACGAGGTTAAACATGAAGATGAAAACGAAAGTAAGATTCTTGAGAAGACTGAGAATTACATGTTTGAAGTCACCAGAGAAAGAAAATTTGAAAACTCAAACTGGTCAATTAACTCAGGAGCTACTTGTCATATGAGCGATAATATAAACCTTTTCACAAAATTAGATAGAAGCAAAATTGAGCAGAATAACAATTGCTAACGGCACGCAGATGAAGTCCGAAAGGTATCGGAGAAGGATACTTATACTGTACAGACGAGGAAGATAGCGAAATAGAAGTGAGACTCGTAGATGTTCTGTGCGTTTCTGACCTAGAAGGAGGATTGATATCCGTACGAAAAATTACAAAAGAAAGGATCACAGTTGAATTTGAAGAAGATATTTGCAGAAAAAGAAGAAAAAAAAACCATAGGAATTGCTAAAGCAGAAGGAAATTTATACACCATAGTTAAATCGCAAAGAAGAAAAGCCAAAATTGCAACTGCAGAAAGAAGAGAAAATAGTATAGATCTTTGGCATAGAAGGCTAGGACATAGAAATTATGAAGCAATCAAGAGGTTAAAGAACGACGACCTGGCAACGGGAATAAGGATTGACGGAGAAGCCAAAAAGGAAAAAGAATGCGAATGCTGTATCAGAGGCAAAATGACTGAATTGCCGTATCCCAAGCTAAACAACTATAGAGCAAAATCAGTTCTAGACTTGATACATTCAGATATCTGTGGACCAATCGGTACAACATCACTAGGAGGAAAGAAATACTTCATAACATTCATCGACGATCATTCGAGATACACAACGATCGATCTGCTAGCTACAAAAAGATGAAGCTATCTCCAAGTTAAAACAATTTGTAACCATGACGAAGAACAAATTTGGAAAGAAGCCAAAGTCTTAAGAACAGACAATGGAGGAGAATATACAAGCAAAGAGATTGAAGACTATCTAAAGGAAGAGGGAATCGAACATCAAACCTCGTAGCATATTCACCGCAACAGAACGGTAGAGCAGAAAGAAAAAATCGATACTTAATGGAAATGACAAGATGCCTGCTACTCGATTCAGAACTCAAAAGAGAATTTGGGGTGAAGCCGTAATGACAGCCACCTATCTACAAAACAGGCTACCATCAAGATCAGTCGAAAAAACACCACCGTATGAACTATGGAATAATAAGAAGCCGAATCTAAGCCATATCAGAGTTTTTCGGCAGCACACTTATTGTCGAGTTCCAAAGCAGAAAAGAAGCAAACTAGACGAAAGAGCAGAAAAAGGAGTTCTTTTCGGATATAGTGACCGTACTAAAGGATATAGAATTTACATGCCACAGCAAACAACGTCGTGATCAGAAGAAGCGTAATATTCGATGAAAACAAAAAAGAAGAAATGCCTTGTCAATAAATGATCAGCATGAGGAAATAAAATGGCCTCTTTAAAAAAAAATAAATTGACAGAACCACGTCCAAATGATATTACAGAGGAAGTAATTGAAACAGAAGAAATTTCCCCATTACCGAGAAGATCCACAGAACGACTAAGGAATCCCACCAAACAGATTCTCATACATGGCTAAGAATGAAGAAATCAAAGTTCCTAAAGACTGGGAAGAAACTTTAAACTTTTCCTACAAAGAAAAGGAACTGTGGTTAAAATCTACGAAAGAAGAAATGGAAGCACTGAAGAGGAACAAAACATGGGAACTAGTCGATCTTCCAAAAGGAAAAAAGCAATTGGAAACAAATGGACATTTAAAACAAAATCCGACGCTTCAGGAAATATTATCAGATATAAAGCTCGTTTAGTAGCTAAAGGATATTGCCAAAAAATTTGGGCACGACTACGACGAAAACGTTCGCTCCAGTCGTAAAGTATACAACAATAAGGACTATCTTGGCAATAGGCAGCTCAAAAGAAGATGCACGTAAACCACTTTGATGTAAAAACAGCTTTTCTATATGGAGATCTAAAAGAAGATATATATATATGAAGTAACCAGAAGGTTACATCTCTGCTTCAGAAGCAAACAAAGTCTGCAAACTAAATAAAAGTATCTACAAACTAAAACAGGCAGCCAGAAACTGGAATCACAAGAGAGCTGAAATTCTGTGCAAACAAGGATACGTTCAAGGAAAAGCTGATCCATGTTCTTTCACACTAATCGAGAAAAATGCTAGAACTTACATAATTGTTCATGTTGATGGCATATTAGTCGCGAGCGACAAGTGTGAAAAATTCAAGAAGTTGAATGAATTCTCAGAGAATATTTCGACATTCGAAATCTTGGAGAAGTGTCTACATATCTAGGAATTGAAATCGAAAGAGAAAAAGACGGAAGCTTTAAAACTTCATTCAAGCTAACAAGATTAATAGTATGATTGAAAAATTCGACGGAGAGTCACGAAAGAAACTAAGGCTATACACCCATGACTACGAATTTTACGAAGAACCAAAACAACCAGGATGACGTTTTTCCCGATAATCGGAAGTATAGGGAAGCAGTGGGAGCACTTTTATATTTAGCAACAGTTATCAAGACCTGACATAGCAAATTCTGTTGGAATCCTTAGCAGAAAAAGTAGAAAATCCATCAACATCGGACTGGAACGGTATCATTAAAATCATACGATATTTGAGAGCGACAATTAATTACAAATTACATTAAAATCCAATGGTTACCAGTCATCAAGCTTACAGTGACGCTGATTGGGCAGGAGATACTCTGACAGAAAATCCACATCCGGATATATATTTCAAATAGGAAAAGTACGGTATCATGGGGAAAGCAAGAAACAAAATTGTGTCGCCCTATCTTCGACAGAAGCCGAATACATCGCTCTAGCCTTAACATTGCAGGAG